TTAAAATTTTTATTGACTGTCACACATTTGACCTTATTAATTACTCTGTTGACATTAACAAGGTCTTTCTTTATCCTAGCCCAGTAGGAGTTAGGAACTTAGATGGTTTAAGTCAAAATAAGCACCTATCAACAAAGACACAAATGTACAGTGTGATTTAATTACATCATGAAATCGAAAAGTATTTCAGGCAAAAGAATATTGTCTACAAAGGGATGAATGGAGTTAGAATGAGGAAACAGCATTAAATGTTCAGTAAACATAACGTAGTATGTTTGAATCAAAAGGTAAATATAGAGCATATAGGGCATGGAGATAAATTAGGCCTAGACTTTAATCTCAGAGGCTATAAAAAGACTGTAGGCTTTTAAGCCATGATCTGACAAGAATCACATTTCAGAAAGGTAACTGGAAGATGATTTACAGTTGCTCAGAATGAAGGTTAGAAGATATGGAAAAGTCTGAGGAAATAATAGAATAGGGAGAAGTGACAATAATTTTAAAATTTTTAATGGCAGTGGGGAGTGGACAAGGAGGATAGGATGCAAAGGGGAAAAAGTACAACATAAAGGAAGTCAGAATGATAGAATTTAGTGACTGCTGGAATAGAGATGGGGAAAAGGTAGATCTGAAAATGACTAATTTGGGTTGGACATATACTAATGGGTATAGAACGCTAAGGCTAACCAAGATTGGAAATATGAGAGAAAGGGAAGTCCAGGGTGGAGAAGAATGAAGAACAGGAAGTAACTACAGAAGAACAGTTAAAGACACTACAGAACAGGCAGGTAAACATATAAGGCCTAGAAACCACACTTAAGTTAAAAATGTATCAAATATGAGTCCTAGCAGAAGTTGGAAGGTTGGACAAAGGGGAACAAGGATCATCAGAATGAAAAACATCTTAGAAAACAGTTCGAAAGTTCATTAAGTCATGTTAATAAAATGTCTACACAGTTCTTGCAATCTTTAAGTACCTATACCTTTCTGACCAATTTCAGCCTACGAAGACAGGAGTTGTTTTAATACTACTTCACTGGACATTAAATATATATTTTCTTCCCCACAGCCAGTTCTCAATGTTCAATGTACTTGAGCTTTTCCTATCCAGCTAACCAGAAATGTTTCAGCTAGATGTTGGTATTATCTCTCTCTTTCATTTTGTAGTGAAAGAATATCATGGCCTCTTTTAACTTACTAGAAGCCCTACTTACCTGCCATCCTAACACTGCTTATCTATCTAAAATAGACAAAAGTTGGAAAGTTCTTATCTTTTACTGCCTTGTTAAGTATCATTTCATTATGAAAGCTTCTAAAACAAATGCAGGTTATACTGAAATTTGACTCCCTTTGTGTTTTGATTAAACTTAAAAGAAGGAAAAAGATGCATGTGGTTAATCATAGATATTTCAGAAAAAATGTTCTACATAATAAAACATTTAAGATATTTATGAAATGATAACATATTCAAGAAAAACTATGCTAAGTTTTGGAAAAATGTGATGTACATTTGGGAGAGAACATGCTTTACAGCCAGAATATTAAGATGGGAGCCACATGGGAAAAGGTCATACCATGTTTACTAAGTGAGCAATGGATTATAAACATAGATTGTGGACTAGGCAGTCATAGGTCAAGCCTGTAATCCTATGTACTCAGGACGGTGAGAGGATCACAGTTCAAAGCCAGCTGGGTGCTGGTGGCTTACACCTATAATATTAGCCACTACAGAGGCTGAGATCTGAGGACTGTAGTTCAAGCCAGCCCAAGTAGGAATGTCCAGGAGACTCTGCAATAAACTATTCAAAAGAAGTTGAAAATGGTGATGTAGCTGAAGTAATAGAGCACTAGCCTTGAGCAAAAGAGGCTGAGGGACAGCACCCCAGCTCTGGCTTCAAACCCCAGGAACAGCACCAATATAAATAAATAAATCATTTTAAAACACATTTGTGATTCTTAGAACATATGTAATCATTTGAATATAACAAGAACTATGGGATAAAATTCTATGTCTTTACAGTTAATAGAAGGTGCATGGATATTTAAGGTAGAGAAGCAACTGAATAAAGAAGATAAATATATATATATATATATATATATATATATATGACCATAATATACATATAAATGTACATGGGCATGTGGGTAAATACAGAGGAGGACAAGAGAAAATAGGGAAAGAATTACTGAGAAGATCAAGAACAGAAGGGAAGAAGCTCATTAAGGAAACAGAAAAGAAGAGTTAGAAGCAACCAAAGAGCAACAGAGCATGCTATCTGGAAAGGCAAGGGAAGTAAAACTTTCAAGGAGGTTGGTGGTCTGTAGCAACAAGTGATCAAGATTTGAAAGAAGTCACTGGATGTTGAAATTAGAGAATCATTATAAACCTTTAAAAATATAGGGAGAGTGCTGAGTTTTGAATGGTAATTTGGAAAGAGTAGAAACAAGTATAGATTATTCTTTTTGCCACATGCAGAACAAAATGAAAAGGGATGAAAGGCTGGCAAGAAGTGTGAAAAGAAGGTAGTGCAGTACACGAGATAGAAAATGCTCCTGATATGAAGACGTTAATGAAGACAGCACCTAAACACCTGTAATTTCTTATGTATTCCTTTAAAAGACTGAAAAATAATGAAAATCCTATCCTACATACCAAATTTCCCTTCAAAGGTGAGTTAGGAAAACAACTCTACAAGGAAAAAAACTCCTGGAAGACATTAATAACCTGTTTTAAAATCAAATAGGGGAAGTATATAGTTGTTATTTAAAAAGATAATTAGTCTTGTATTTTAACAAAATTACTTCCTGAGACTGTAATAACATTTTGAGAAGTCTCAGGATATTACCAAAATAGAAAAGTAATTTTGTTAAAAAAAAAGCACTAATTATATTTTTTAAACATATTTAAACTTTTGTTTTTCGTTTCTGCATTCTGAATATATTTTTGAACTTTTAGAGAATTATTTTTTCATTGACATTAAATACGCCTAACAAAAAGCCCACTTCACAATTCTTATGAGAGCACTAAGCTCTGTATATAACAAAGTACTAATATTTGTAGCTCATTAAAATAAGGAATTTCAAATTGTAGCTTGCATATGTTTGCATCTATAATCAGTGTTCAACAATTTCCTTAGTACTTAGCAAGATGTCTATAATTCTTCCATATGTTATTTGTTAAACAGTTACTATTTTTTCATTTCATTGTATACAGCTTGCTGAAGTCTAGCAAATGTCAGATTAGACACATCTCTTGGGGTTAAACTACTGTATGGTAGAGGTATCATTTTAAAGGATAAGTAACATAATATATCAAAGTTGGCAGCTCAAAAACCTAAGTCAAATCATAGTTCTACTTCCTTAACAGCTGTGTGTTTGTAAGTAGGTGTTATCTCCCAGAAACTCAATTCCTTAATCAGTAAACTGCAGAGGATAATACATAACTCAGAATTATTATTAAAAATTAATTTTTAAATGGTATAGAGAAAGCATACAAAGAGGTGACATTGTTCACAAAGAACTGTACTCATTAACTGATTTAAGAAATGATAATCTCTCTGTACAACACCTTAATAACAAAAATTATATTAAAAACATTTCTTAAATATGTAAATATTCATAGCTCAAGTGTGGTGAATTGAATAAGGAATGTAAAAAGTTGAATATAATTAATTACTATTTTCCATAATACAAATGGTGCAAGCAAAGTACCAACAAATACATATGCTTTAAAGTCAAGGAAATTTAGTTAAGTCCAATCATAAGAATAACAACAAAATTTCAAAAAGGCATCTAAAAAAGAGACAGATTTCAATCTTTCACTAGAGGTAGGAAATTTTATTAAGATGAAATTTTATGACAAGAAGGAAAAGGAAAACAGTGGAAGCTATCTCAATTTAAAAAATCATAACATATTTGATATAAAAAGGACACATAAAAGTATATCAAAATTTTACTCATAATTGAAGTAAAACAATTGATACAGAAAAATCTTTAAATATTTGAAGAAGTATTATATTTTTATTACATTACAGATTCTATTTAGATAAGCCAGTTCATTTATCTGATTAAAAAAAACAGTATAACTTCATAAAATTAAATGTGGAAATATATTCTCTGTTAAATGGCAAAGCAAGAGCTTAAAACACATCACAAAGACCATTTTTCATGGTGCATTTAATGGCATAGACACTGATGAAAAAAAAAAAAAAAATTACTATCCGAGACCAAACTGGCATACAATTCTAGCTTTCACAAGGTGTGTTACCTTTCCACAAGTAATTTTTCTCCCTCAGTTTATTCATCTCAGAAACAAAATAGAGCCAACATTTATAAAAGATTTTGAGAAATTAAATGCTATATGCAAAATAAAACATTTTATACAAGCCCTTATATTATAAATATGGGCAATAAAAATGAGTTCTCACTAATCAATAACAAAGTCAGTTGTGTCATTACCAGAATCCACCTAAGAATAGTCAACCTGTTTTGCCATTTAGGTTATGTCTACACAGGGCATTTAGGTTAGGTTGTGTCTACAAAGGGCTAGTACATGGACTCTGACATACGGGTTGCAATTCAAACCCCCAATTTGGTAAGTAACACCTTCAGCTGCTGTCTGAATGGCACAGAGAGATGTGTTTAATTTTCTAAAATTTCTACCAAAACCCTAAGTTTTCTGTAACACTTGCAACAATGTGACATTGATTCAATTATTGTTTTTTGGCCAAGAGTATTACTGAGGCCTCTATTTCCACATTTTATTATATTAATCACTAAATTATGATATCAATGATAATCATAAGTGCCATATTTATAATTCAGAAGTAGTTTTCCTAATTTTAAACAAATTTTATTCCCACAAACAAAATGTGTAGCATCATGAAGTATTTTACTTTTACACTGCATTCTATTTAAGTACCAGCTAAAATGCAGTTGGTGTCATAGAAAATAAGTACTCTAAATATAACTGAAAGCAATTTAAAACAAGAGGAACTCACCTGTAACTGCAAGGCCTCATGAGTTTCTAATCCTTCCACAATTAGTGAAAATCGTTCCCTGTTATTTCTTTCTGCTGCTGCCGTAATAGCCCCTAAAAGTTTGTCTAGGCTGTAGAGCGAGAGAGCGAGAGAGAGAGAGAGAGAGAGAGAGAGAGAGACAGAGACAGAGACAGAGACAGAGAGAGACAGAGAGAGAGAGAAAACAGAAAACAGAAACGACAAATATTTCTTACACGTTTTGCACATATATTATTCCATGTACACTTATCTATTTGATTCCAGTGTTTACAGCTTATATAGCTTTGTATGTCCCTCCCCAATGGTACAACCCCTGTTTTCACTGTATTTGATGTTAGTATAATTTGGGGAGGGGAAGGAAAAAACAAATTGTTTAAATAGGGATACAGGTGGACCCATTGCAACAATGAAATGTACAAGATGCTCTGTTGAAAAACGAACTTTACAACTTTGGGGGGGGGGGGTGGGGGTGGGAATGGGAAACAGGAGGAGGCAACAATGCTTGATAAGAAATGTACTCATTACCTTGCTCAAGTAATTGTAACCCCTCTGTACAGTATTTTCACAATAAAAAAGACTTATGAATAATAAAAAATCTTTAGTTATTTTGTACTTTTTAAAAGAAAAGTTAATGTATGTATTTATAATATATAAGACAATATTTTGAACCATACATATTTGGGAAATGGCAAAAATCAACCAAAGTAATGTATACATGATCTCACATACTTGATTTTTGTGTATACATGACACTACTATTGTAGGTACAATAATGTACAACTCATTATATTAAACATTCCTTCTAAGTGAAATAGTATTACAATATATAGATTGTTCTTTTGCCAATATACTTCTACAAGTCAAATACCGATGGTTTTTAAAAAATTTTAGAGCATAAAAAATTAATTGGGAATATAGCTTCTGTGTGAACCTTTAAAAATAATGCTTGTGGATCACATACGTGGCTACTCAGTAAGCAGATATCTGAGGATTGTCATTTGAACTTGCCCAGACAGACCAATCCAAGAAACTTATTATTTCTAATAAATTTTTAAAAAGCTGGAACTGAAGGCATGGCTCAAGTCGTAGAGTGCCAGCTATGAGCAAAAAAAGTACAGACCCTAAGTTCAAGTACCAGTACTGCAAAAGAAAATTAAATTAAACCATTTATTCAAGTGTAAATAGAGTGACATTTTAAAAAGAAAAGTTCCTAGCAATTAAAAGCATCAGCATAAGCAGTGCAATGTGGCTAATGCCTGTAATCCTAGCAATTCAGGGGGCTAAGATCTGATTTGAAGCCAGCTCAGGCACGAAAGTCCATGAGACTCTAATCTCAAATTAGCCACCAGAAAACCCAAAGTGCCACTGTGGCTCAAAATGATAAGAACACTAGCCTTAAGCAAAAATCTCAGGAATAGGTCCACTATCAAGTTAAAAAAAAATTGTACGTAAGAAACCAATTCATCTAAGCAAAAGTACTGGTATCTCCATACAATGCTAAGATCAACTTAAATTCTATGTAGTATTCTATTACTAACAAATGATATCTAAAATTATAATTAAATCAAAAATTGTATGAGGTTAGTGTATAATTTATGGATTAAGAAGTGAAAATATTTACAAAAATATTGACATACAAACTGATTTTTATATATAGCATTAGGAAACTATTTTCGCTATTGGTATTTCATTTGTTATCATTGAGAAAAGAGTTAAATTTAAACATAGCATACTTTTTAACATATGTGTTTTTGATCTCTAAGGATGGTAGCTAGCACTAAGCAACATCTCATTTATTCAAAAGGTTTTAAGAAAGTCAACATATTAGAGCATACATCTTGCCAGGTGCTACTGGCTGAAGCCTGTAAATCCTAGCTACTCATGAGGCTGAGATCTGAAAATCTTGGTTCAAAGACGACCCAGGCATGAAAGTCCAGGAGACTTTGATCTCCAATTAACATCCAGAAAACAAGAAATGAACCTGGGGCTGAAAGTGGCAGAGTCCTAGTCTTGAGCAAAAGAAGTCATGAAAACACCCAAACCCTCAGTTTATGCACCAAGAACCAAAGTCAAAAAACAAAAACCAAACAAAAATACTATGCTCAGCTCTATTTTGATTTACATGGAAAATATCATTATCACACTATGTTTTCCCAAGAAATATTTTGTCTTTAGAATATATTTTAGAAGCCATGGCTTCTTAAAACTAGACTCCTTACTGACATGAACTTCTAACTTTCGCTTCAGAGTCAGTATTATTACCATGTAATTAATTGCCACACCTATACACACACACACACACACACTATCAACAACCTTGGGTTCTTTTTAACAGGTTAAGTTATTTCATTTTGCAAATAATTTGTACAAAATTTAGTGAACATAAGTGAGTGAAAAAAATAACTTTCAGAAGATAATAGTATAAAAGAAAACAGTGAATTCAGTGAGTCAAAAAGCATGACATACAGTGGGGGAGATGGGTGTGTATTTATCAATTTTTAATTCATCTTTGAAGAATTTCCTTTTAGGATTCTTTCTAAACCTACTTTTCACACTATCAACAAAATACATACACACAATATAAAATATTAACCCAAACTTTCCTACATCTAATATATTTTCCATGTAAAAACATAAGTAAGACTTAATTTCTCAAGTATCGTTTTAAGTATATAAAGTAAAATACAGTAATACTTACATGTTGTCTTCTCCAACAATACAAATAGCAGAGAGTAATTTTACTATTTCAGTCATCATGTTGGGTTGTTTGGGGTCAATTGCTCTTGCCAATAGGAAAAGGCTCCTTTCATCTCCCAGAATTCTTTGCAATCCAAACTAAAGAAAAAGGAAGAAAGAACTTCCATTCAAATTAAAATGGCTATGAAACGTAACTTCCATGTTTAAAAAATGTGACTTAAGTAACTTTTTTTCAAAAGCAAATTCTTCCAAAGTAAAATTCTACCTAACTATATAAACGGTTTTCAAATGAAATTACATCTTTGTTTCTTTATTTGAAATGACTGCATCTTGTACTGTGCTCATGTATGACCTCCAGTAGCCTGCACTAAGAAGTACATAAAAATTTCAGGAAAAATATAGGATCAGTATTTTTTTTTGGGGGGTCCGGTCGTGGGGCCTGAACTCTGGGCCAGGGCACTGTCCCTCAGCTCTTCAGCTCAAGGCTAGCGCTCTACCACTTGAGCCACAGTGCCACTTCCGGCTTTTTTCTTTTTGCTTATGTGGTGCTGGGGAATCGAACCCAGGGCCTCATGCATGCAAGGCAAGCAGTCTACTACTGAGCCACCTTCCCAGCCAGTATTATTTCAACAAAGAAATATTGGCCACAAAATAATATGATTGTAAAATTCTTCATATGTTACTTGGTATCCCTGGAAAAGTCTAGAATGTCTGGTTAAATTGCCCAGTACAGTGAAGGTAAACACAAATTTTTGGTTAAAATATAAAATCTCTATTTTATATTATGAGCCACTTAAAGCAGTAAACCTTGGTATGGATTTTCCCATACCTTCTTACAGTTATACTCCTATATCAAATAACCACAAACACTTTAATAGCAAAGAAATGCAACCTGGTTTTTAAGAACCACAATTAAGCAATGGAGACACCATTTTCACATAGGTTTTAAGCTAAACCCTACATAGGTTTACGCAAATGCACAAAGGTCTAATAGATATATCTTTGAGACTTGTTATACCAGGAAGACAGTGTTTAGTTTCATTTTTATCACACAAATTACTTCTCAGCTTCTCATAACTATTTTTCTTTCATTTTAGTCAAATGGTAAAGTCTAACATTTCATCAGATTACATTTGCCACTTTAAAATAAATTTTAGCTAAGTACTAAACATAGGAATGCTAATAATAATAATTTAACTTACAAAAGAACTTGTGGTAGGGCAAAATATACCTAATGCTCTTAAACTTACAGGTCAAATCAATCAAATGAGATTGAAAACATTTAATTCTCTTAATTTTTACTTGTTTAATAATTTCTAGCATGTAGGGAAATACTATAAAACTGAAGATATAAGAAAAAAATTTGGAAAAGCATCAATCCAAATATAAGAATAAAATTATGTCAATAGATATTAAGAAACAATGGATTGGTTTCATGGTCATACTAGTATAAGCACAGGGGGAAAGAGTTTTCAGAATATGCTAAACCTTAAAGGACTAAGATAACTCAATGCTTTAAGATTTTAAGAATTTATTGCAATGCAACCTCTGTTTTTTCTGGATCTGGCTTATTTCACTTAATACAATTCATAAAATTCAGTGTCTTATTGTAATTCTCTTCTGCAATCTGTTTCTGTAGAGGTCTTATCCAAATTTGAAAAACAAAGTTTTTTCAGTTAAAAAGAAGAATTTATTGCAATACAATATTTATTCCTACACAATGTTAATATATTGTATATATTTAAATTTTAATAGTTATGCCAATTGTCTCATGTGCGTATGCTTTAAAAGAACTGTTTATTCATGTTGTAAGCACCTATGTGAAAGACATAAATACAGCATAAAATCTAACCTTAGGTTAGGATAATCGACACCAAAACATCATGTTCTTCAAAACTGCCAAACCATTACAAAATAGGAAAAATGTGCTGACGTATCAAGGTATATCCTGTAGGAATAGGATTTCTTAGAAAGGCTTACTACTACTAAAACTTCCTGGGGTGACTATTCTGATTGTAAGTCTTTGACAGTTGACAAGGGCAGTCAGTAGGAATTTGTAACTAATCTTAAATTTGCAGATGGGGAGCATGATCAGCCATAGGTTAATTCATTTTCCAAATGCTATGTCAACTTATTAGTGGCAATATATAAACCGTATCTCCTGATCTCTAGTGCTTTGTTCCCTTTCCATTATATTATTATGGTTCTCAAATGCAAAAAGAAATCTATCATCAACTCTTCAGAAGCAATGTTCAGTTAGCACTTCTTGTTAGATATCACATACTTTGTAGCCAGATTAAAGAACACAGAAATAAAGAAATTCTGTACAGAACTGGTAGGAGCCTTTTTATAAGACATTACCAGAAACACCACTAAGAGTATATTCTATGAAGGAGACTCATGCCCACCAGCAATCATATTTGACACAATGCAATATTCCTTGAAGATCATAGAACATATGCATACTTATGTGTAATTACATATTCCTAACAAAGACTGTTTGCAAATTATTAAATATAATTGCAAAATGGGCGCCAGTGGCTCATGCCAGTAATCCTAGCTACTCAGGAGGCTGAAATCTGAAGACTGCATTCAAAGCCAGCCAAGTCAAGAAAGTCCATGAGACTCTTATCTCCAATTAACCACCAGAAAACCAGAAGTGGTGCTGTGGTTCAAGTAGTAGAGCAGTTGCCTTGAGCTGAAGAGCTCAAGGACAGCACCCAGGCCCAGAGTTCAAGCCTCAAGAATGACTTGGGGGGGGGGGGGGGGGCGAAACATCGCTTATTAATAGCTATGGTTCACATGTGGCAAGTTTCTGATTATTGTTACATTTATTTCTATTAAGAATTTTAAGATTATTAAAACACCTTCTAAAGGTAATTATGTAATTAAGTGAATGAATTAGCTTATAGTATTATACTTATAGCTATATAGAGGGAGAATTTATAAGACAAAAGAAAATTTAGTGTAAATTTTACACTATTCTACATACATGGTATTGTATATATTATATAAAATATAATATATATTATATAAATTATTATATATTATGCTTTTGGAGGCATCGACCTGCGTAACCCCATCTGAGCTCCTGTGTGCCCTGAGGGTGCATCCAGGCATGCATTCCTCTGCGGGAGGAAGGAACACCCTTTCCTCCATGCGGGGCAAAGGTTCTGCGCCCAGCACCAGAATCAGGTGGTGGTTTGTAGAAAGTGGCATTCCTGCTTCTCCTAGTTAACCCCATAGAACAATGCCTCGAGACTCCCTTTGTGTACTCACTTGTGCTTTACCTACTTTTACAACCTTGATTACTGAAACTACTCCACATTTGTTGACAAGGATTAACTTTTCCTGCTTTACTGACTTAAAAGTTAAACTCTCATTGTCTGTGTTCCCTTAAAACTGTTTAAGATTAACTCTCTGCCCCTGACTGAAGATTTACTTCCCCTGCCTGTGTGCTGTACATAAGTATGTGAAGTTTCAATAAACTTTGTCTATACCCGCATGGTGTATAGACAAAGTGCCTATACCCGAAATCTCGTTCCCAGGTCCCACTGTGGAAACAGTAACATTATATAAAGCCCCCTGCTGTCATCCAGAGATGTCTTTTACAGGCTAACTCACTGATATCATTAGAACATAAAAGAGAAATCTTAACCTTAAAATGCCCGACACACAAGTAAAAGCTTATCCTTGATAATTTGTTTTCAATTGAATAAAACCTCTCTGAATGAAAATTGTATTCAACTTTTAAAACATTTAAATTTCCTATTACCATAAAAAGAAAAAAAAATTACCAAAATTGGAAAGAATACTAGTAGGTTTGTACAACTGCAAAACTTACCAATAAATATTATATGAAGTATTTTGAAAGTTATAATGATTTGCATCATAAAGACTCTTGTAAAGTGAATAAGCACACACTATTTTTTCTGTTTCATACTTTTCATAACATTAGGCAAGTTTTCTTGTTTCATAATAGAGGCAGAAATAAATACAACTTACCTTATTATTCATAAATGCTTTGAGGCATTGAATAAGTTTATACTGATTCTTTTTATCAATATTTTCTTGCCTAAATAAAAAAAATAGATCATATTACATTGCATTTCAAATTTCCCTTTTGGTGAAATTTTTTAAATGTTTTTTCTTACTGTTTTTTGTCCAGGAGCTTTTCCAGCACATCTAAAAGGAGTCCCAGACCTTCATGACCGAAGTTGTTAACCCAGCTAAGAAAGAAAGAGAAAAACCAGATAAGTTCCTTTATTTTAAACAGTAAATATACAAAATGAAATTTTGGTTTTCAAATCTGATAATATTGTCTTTACATGTATCTATTTTTTTCTATTTCCTTTGTTTCAAATATTTACTCTCTGAGGGTACCTCAGAGATATTCCAAAGCATAAAACTCCAACACCAACTTTGAAAGGCTTCAAGGTGCAAATAACTATTTTGATGCAATAAGGTTTTTGCACTATGAGTCTTCTAACCAAGTATGAACTTTTTTATTTCTACTCTACATAATATTTATCTCGTAAGGTCTGATTTTATGATTGTTGCCACATACCTTACCCACCTGTATCAATTACTAGCTCCATAAATAATATATTTATCTTATTTACCTTTCCATCTTATATCTCATTTAGTAGAGTGCCTTATACATCATCACTAAATATTTATATCATGTATAGCCAACACTAAATTGATTCAATAAATTTAAATTTGTAATTCAAATCTAATTAAATTTACTACTTTTTGTGGCAAAAAGAATAAGGAGTCTAAGCTGAGTGCTGGTGGTTCACCCCTGTAATCCTAACTACCCAGGAGGCTAAGATATGGGGATCACAGTTCAAAACTACCTCTGGCAGCAAAGTCCATGACACTCTTATTTCTAATTAACTGATAGAAAGCTGGAAGTGGCTCTGTGGCACAAAGTGGTAGAACACTAGCCTTGAGCAAAAGAGCTCAAGGATAGTGCCCAGCCTGGAGTGCAAGCTGGAGCCCCAACCAAAGGGAAAAAAAAGAGACACCATCTAATACTGCTGCAGAAGTCCATAAACATATATATATATATATATATATATATATATATATATATATATATATGTAGCAGACTTCTGAGAAGCAAGAATTAAAATATATAATCTCTCTATGCACACACACACACAAATGTATGTATATATATTTCGTGATGCTAGGGATAGAAGCTAGGGCCTCATACATGTCAGATAAATATTATAGCACTGAGCTGGTCCTCATACATGACAGAAATATTATAGCACTGAACCACATCTCCAGGGTCTATTCCATTCCGCAATTTTTAAACTATCATTTCATAGCTAACTAAGGTGAAGCTAATCAACATAGCAGAGAACTCTATTTGTAGGAGAATATCAGAAAGAGTGATGGGGTCACTGAAGAAAATATATTTTACAATAGCTGATATTCAAAACCAATCAAATCAAGAATATATCTAGAAGCTCATTTTAAACAGATTCTGCTTTAATTTCTGTAATGGAAACAAGAAAAAAATCAATATGGCATTTTAATGTTAATTGGAAGCAAGCTACTATACAATTAAGGCATGTAATCACCCAGAACAATGAGCTATCTTCTCTAAATATACTTGATAATCAGTGGGATGGTGGGAGAACGATAAAAGGACATCAATTCTGAGTGTAATATAGTTTCTAATCTATGACAGCCAAAAAATCACCATATACTATAGCACAATATACCAATATAAATATAGGTATATACAATGAATAACATTGCAGTAATGTTAAACCAATTTATAAATACAACTTTCAATATCTATCTGCCTTGGCATTTGGGACAAAAATCTGTAATTTCTTTAAAATTAGTATTTACAAATTGTGTTCAGTTTCTAAATTTTAATTGTATTCCCATATCTAGTGCTAAGTTTATCAGGATTATTTCTTTTTAGGTGTAGGGAATTGTTTGACATAAGAACATGATTTATATTTGTTCATTTGAAATCAGTTTACCCACACATGCCAGACAGTTTCAAATTGTGCAATTACTATTGTTTTCCTCAAAAGTGGGGGGGGGGGGGACAATGGAGAGATATAATCATGAAACCTAAGTGTGAGGCAGAGGGAACTGCTTATTACAAATTAAAGAGAAGTCTCAACTGAGAATATTTTAGGCTGATGGACAGAAGTGTCCTCTAAGAAATCACTAGACTTTTTTAAATGGAGAGAATAGGAGCCCCAAAGAGATGGTTGCTAGGATAACAAAATAATTATGATATAGCATGATATAGAATCTTTGTTCCCTTTTGTCTTGCTAGTACTGTCTTTCAGGTGTCAGTTTGTGGTGCTTACTGTTTATACATTTTTCTGTCCTTTCCTCCTTTTCTTCCTTCCATATTTCTCTCTTCATATGAATGTATGAAGGTGTATATAAACACACATACATGCACAAAACACATGACACACATACACTAAAACACACATACACTACAAATGAAATGAGGTAGGTTTTTTAAATTAATTTTATCTGGGTACTCTGGCTCACACCTGTAATCCTAGGTACTTAGTAGGCTGAGATCTGAGGGTCAGGGTTCAAAGCAAGCCCAGGCACCAAAGCCCATGAGACTCATCTCTTGAAGTAACCACCAAAAAGCCAAAAGTGGAGATGTGGATTAAGTGGTAGAATGCAGGCCTTAACCAAAATCATTAAGGGACAATGTATAGGCAATATGTTCAAGCTCCAGAACCAATTCTAGGGGGATAAAAAGTAGTTCAAAGCAAAATGTTAATTATAATACATGAGTTGGTATACCAGAAGTAAAAGTCAGTGATTCTCAAACTATGCTTCCAAACCAGTTTCCACATCTGGACTTGAATCACTACCATCCTCATCTCTGCCATCATGTCCCTGGGATTACAAATGTGAGCAATCATTCGTGACTAGTATTTGAATTTTTATACAATATATAAAATAGTCCAAACATATTTCACTTCATCTATTCATGGGCAAAAAAATAAGACTATAATTATTGGAAACTCATTAGTTACTTATATTTAATTTTAACCACATGTAATTTCTGGCCAGTTCAGATCAGCATAATCATGGAAATTACAAATAATTGGGGGTGAAAAGGGCGGAAAGAGAGAGCATTGATAGTTCATACAGAATCATGACAGTAAAAACTATATTTATGAGTTAAAGTCTTAAAATTGAAATATATTTCAATCTTTCACAAATTCTCAGGTCACTATTTTTATCTTTTTTTTTGGGGGGGGGGGGGGGGGGCCTGGTCGTGGGGTCTGAACTCTGGGCCTGGGCACTGTCGCTCAGCTCTTCAGCTCAAGGCTAGCGCTCTACCACTTGAGCCACAGCGCCACTTCCGGCTTTTTTCTTTTTGCTTATGTGGTGCTGAGGAATCGAACCCAGGGCCTCAGGCATGTAAGGCAAGTGCTCTATCACTGAGCTACCTTCCCAGCCTAAGTTTCTAGTTTTTTACTTCTTCATATTCAACAGTTTGAGATATCTATTTTGCAAAAGAAAGCTATACTAATGTTAATAATAATGAAAGTGAGAATCAGAAGATTTACCTGCCATCCCAGACTAACAAGTGGTAGATATAGTATGTAAAACTAGGTCCAAAAAATATAAGAAGTCTGTTTAAATATGTCAGTAGTTTCAACTCAGGGTCTCAGATTTGCTTGGCAGTTACTCTACCACTTTAGCTATGTTTTCACCACTTTTTCCTTTTTTTTTAAATTATGAAAATACCGTATTTTCATAAGGGGTAACAATTATATAAGCAAGGTAAGAGTACATTTCTTATCAAGCATTGTTGCCTCCTCCTTTGTTTCCCCTTACCATCCCTGCCCTCCCATCCTCCGCCCCTCCTCCATTCCCCCCCCCCCCCCCCGGCCAAAGTTGTAAAGTTCGTTTTTCAGCATAACATCTTGTACATCTCATTGTTGCAATGGGTCCACCTGTATCCCTATTTAAACATAATTTGTTTTCTCCCTTCCCCTCAACAAATCATACCAACATCAAATACAGTGAAAGCAAGGGGTTATACTGTGGGGGAGGGACATACAAAGCAACAAAGAAATATCTTATAAATATGTTAGAAACAATAGCAAGAAAGAAAAACATCTGAGTCCAAACCCAGGGCCTCAGGCATGCAAGGCAAGCGCTCTACCACTGAGCCATCTTCCCAGCCCCTCAGGTCACTATTTTTTAAGTGCCAATATATACCAATCAGCATAATTAAAGGAAAGAAAATCTTACATTTAAGGAAAAAGTATCAGAGCATTCATTTAACCCTAAATCAAAAGAAAGCAAGATCCTCCCCTCTCTACCTCTCAAGGGCTAAATAAAATGGAAAAAAAGATAAAAATCTTTATAAATGTACGTTTTTTATTGAAGAACAGGATGACATTTGTTACCTAAGTTTCAGTTTCCCAAAAAACTCAGTCTTTTCTCCATGAATTAGACTTTCAGACTCTTAATTATTTAATTATATTCCATGTAAACATAACTTGTATATTTGGTAAACAGGAGTTCAGTACATTATACACAATGGAGACTGCATGTCTATTTGTGGTTTGAGTGACCAGATTTATGTCTATTAAAAGGTTAAAGTTAAAATTAGAAGTTCCATACTGAGTCCCACAAAGCTGTACAAGCAATTGGTCTCATGTGACAGAGTGCAATATTAGTCATGTCATCCCTTTATCACTATTTGTGCAATGCTAAAGTCTAGTATCAAGGGTTATGTGCTCTGTACAAAGGATTTATTTCTCTCTAATGGTCTTCTATTCCCATGTGTAATCTCATACTACAAATCATTGGAACATCAAATAAAATGAATGGTAGTTCAGCTTCATGGGAGAATTCAGAAACTTGGTAAAATTTTAACACATAAAACCAAAAATTCAAACAGTTAAGGGAAGTTTAGAAGATTATTGTTAAGTGCTTTCTTGTTTATTTAATGCCAGTGTTGCCAATGTAATGCTTCTCAATGCAATTAAAACCCAATCTTAGTTATATACACTTAGGGAAAGAAAAAGGATCTAGGATGATTAAGAACAAAGTATAGCTCAGCAAAACAATATTGTACATTTGATTCATGGATCAATATCCTCAAAGAGTAGCCAAGAAGAACAATATCTTCATCAGGTTTAAGGAATAATTTGTCCAGCTGAATCAACTTCATAATGGTTTTCCTATCAACATGGATTTC